CAGCGTCTCAGGCATGTTGATCAATTTCTTCCTGTACGCACACCGATCCCATCATTGGCTTCCCGATATGGAAAAAAAATATGATTTTATTACAAGATCTCGATCTGTTGTCCACTGAGCCCAAACTTGATGGATCATCTTTGTAAGCCGCAATCTGACATGGTCTTTTCGCTAGTCATCAATTCTAAAGGCTTGATAGCGATTGTAGCGTCGCTGCTACAATAGGAAGTTTATTTGCAAATGTCTACTTTCGCCAAGATCACATCACTCTTTCCCAAGATCAAAGACTATATTGTGGAATTCTATCAAGAGTTGCAGCCTCGATTTCTACCGCTTGTCAACATGTATGCCGCAATCCGGATGTTGGCTTCCCAAAATTTAACGCTTTGATACCATTTGATACAATTTGACGGGATTTTCAAGAGAAATTAGGGCAAACATATAATTTATTGCAAGAACATGAAACATTCAACCTGAATACAAAATAAGCACCTACAATTCGAGAGATAGGCAATTCGAGAGATAGGCACAATTCGAGAGATAGGCGATCTCTCTCAATTCCTATAATTCGAGAGGTAGGAAATCTCTCCCAAACCCTAAACCTAAAACTCACAACCACCATCTCATGCATCCCCTAACCCTAAACATATTAGTCATATTTATACTAAATAAAAATAAATAATAAAATTCTAAATTGCCCTTAGACTAATAGATGACAAAATTATCCTTAGGCTACGCACTGGCGTAACATATTATTTCTTTGACAATATGTGAAATAATAATTTTTTTTTCAAAGTTTTACATGCAAATGCTCTTGAGATGATTAACAGTATATTTATCAATGAGTAAAGTGCTAAAATAGTCCCCATATTGTTTTAATGGGAACTAAAATAAACCTCATTAAGAACTATTTCAATTCAATTTAAAAAAAAAAATGAGAACTAAATTCACATTTATAAACTAAAATATCCCTTACAATGAGCCAGGGGTCTATTTTGGCATTTTTTTTTCATTTATCAATTGTGATGAGTATATTATTTTGTCAAAAGAAGTGAATGCAAATGCTATCTCTACTAAAATTAATTAGAAGACCATTACAAAGATAAATAATAAATTTCTATCAAAATTTGAGTAAAATTCAAAAATTTCTAGCTGTAAATCTATACTTACGAAGATGTTTGAAGGCTTCATTTATGTTGACAATGTTAATTAATCAAGGTGGTTCAATCTAGCTTCTATACTTCAATTCCACAATCATAATGAATCAACTGATTATGTTTCTCTTTACTGTGATAAAGCTAAAACTTGTAAAAAAATAAAAGCTTAGCCAAACAAAGCCTAAATTAACGTCTGCCTGCACCCTTATCTAAAACAAGCATGACTTCTTTAAGAGTCACTAATAGCTTTAACTAGGCTAAATTTTAATTTTAAAAAAAGACTTAATTTAACTGTGTATCTAAGTTTCATAAGCATCTAAAAATATATTTATCTAGCATTGACCTGCAAACAATCAAAGTTGCAAGGTCAATGAAACCTCCTTTTGGCTTCTACATGCATAACAATAAAAGCTATTCTAAAGGTTTATCTAAGAAAAGTGGTTGTGGGTGTATCAACTTCCCCTCCATGAACATTTAGAGCATGTTTTCTTCATTTAGACTGAGATTATGGTGTAACAGCTAATATCACAGTAATATCGTCTTTGATGTTGATGTGGATCTTATCATCAACTTAATATGCGAGAATGATCGAAAGTGAAATGCTTTCATACCAAATGAAAAATCAGATATTTGCTAGCTAATTTCAATTACAAGTTCATATATTCCTATAGGGAATTTAACTAATTTAATATCTGTTACCATACTTGGGTCTTCTATTTGATTATGCTAAGATTGCCAAATCATGAAGGGCCGATCCATTTCCACATTCTATGGAGAATTACAAATTTATATAAATGGAGTCACAAATATTAAAGAAAAAGAGGCTTGAATTGCATTGGTTTTGCAGCAGACGTGTGATCCTCTTAGTTGTTCTTTGTAATTGGAAATGTTTCAAGGATTATGTCGATTACCACCAATACTAAACTTGAATGATACCTAGTTCTAGTCAGTTTGGTTAGAATTTGATGATTATTTCAAGTGACAACAATATCAGGATAGTTGATAGATTAAGATACTAATAATTTGGGGTGAGCTTGATTTATCGTCATTCTCCATAAATTCGAGTAGAGTGCTACATGATGTATCAAATTTATGTTGCACAATACCTTTTATTCTCAAGAATTTACTTGTACACTGCCATGTTTGATAAAGAATAGAAACCCAACATCAAGCATGAAAATAATGATCTATTGCATAGAGATCAAGTGTTTATACAATAGAGAGTTGGATTTCCATTTCTTGTATGGTCTACCTCCAACCTCATAAGAAAAGTGTGGGATGATCATGATAAATCAAAAGCCTTCAATCAAAATCAATTCAATAATAAGTCCATGGCCGACTTTCTCCTCATTATAAAGCGCCATGTGATTAAATGTGAATCTTTTAACAATTAAGGTGTGGTCAAACCTTTCATACGACATAATTGTCATGTGATTTTTCTTTTTATATAAACACTCTACTTCCTTCTATGCCATGGATAGACCGTCCTCTTTTCCATCTATCCCTCAGTTCATTCAAGTATTATAATCGAGGGTGTTTCAAAAGCTTTACGTTTAGTGTGAGTTGGTCATCCGCATGCTCAATATGCATTATTTCCATGACTTGTTATGTAGCACTTGAAACATTGATGAATAATTAAAGAGAAATAATTGGAACTTGTTTTCAAGTGATTTGGAAGTAACTTGGTCGCTTCCTCTCGCTAGATCTTCTTTTGTGGGAGCTTCGAAAACCATTTGTTGGAAGTGTATTGCTGGCTCCTTTCGAAATTCTTTCTTAAGAGCTTTAACGTAACAATATGATTCCATTAAGAACTTTAGTGAGGGTTTCAAGTTATCGGATTATCTCCTTTCTATTTGGGGAAATTTACATACATACCACACAACTCTTATTTATTTACATATCACCCAAAGCTAGGTAGGAATATGAACATTCTAAGCACTAAGAATAGTTCAAATTTGAAAACAAAACAAAAAAGACTTCCAAAAAGAGATGTAAATTGTAAGGTTCAATTGGGAAAATATCAATAACAATTAAGAGCATACATACACAAATGCTATGACTGAAATGTGCTCTAAATTTTTGTTTTGCAAAAGAAATGAAGAGGATAAGAAAAACAAGTAATGATATAAAAATAGGCAAAAGAAAAGTAGCCTTATTATAAAAAGGGTCATTTGCATACACAACACACAATTCTTATGTGTTAAAATATCTAACACCGACACATTCATGTTTATATGCATCTCACTCAAATTTTTAACATCACGTCAAAAATATCACCATCACTGCCTTTTAAAAATTGAAATATAACTTTTCATGCAGAGATTTATGATAACAAGGAGTTATAAGTGTAAATATCAAAATTTGGGTGTTAGATATGTGAATACATAAGAATTGTGTGACATGTTACTTATGCTTTGCCGCAATAGAAGGTAGAATGTTGGAAAACTACAATAATTGAAACAAAAATGCTAATGCCATAAACTATTGAACTAGTTACATTATGATCAAATAATGTAGACGTAATTAGGAAGAAAATATAGTTAAGTGACAGCATATCCATGTTAATTGCACGCTGAAATAGTTTGAAGAAAGCAAACTAAATCAAAAATGTCAAACTAACAGAAACAAGCAACATATCCCCCCTCCTCGACATCTAAAAGGATGAAAGAAAGGTGACCTTAAGGAAAACAAAGTTAAACCCAATTTTGTCAGAAAACATAGAAAGATCAGCATCTATTTCAACAAATGAAATCAATCATCTTCTCTGGTTCAATAGCTATATGTTATTACAAATTAGTCATTGAATTACCATCTCAAAAGAAGTTAACATACCAAAAACCAATTGTCTTATTGTTTCTCAACTAGGAAGTAACATTAAAAAGTAGAAATTAATTTTCGAAAATATCAAATGCTCAAAGAAAGCATCAATCGGTTGTTTTAACCATCTAGTAAATATTTCTAACGAGCGAAGTGTCAAAATAGTCCCTTGACTATTTACATGGGGCCATCTTAGTCCCAGAGTCTATGAAAGTGTCATATTAATCACCATTATCTTTTAATATGGGTTGCAATAGTCCCTTAAGAAGACTATTTTAACCTCCATTTTAAAAGCCTGGGACTAAATTGGCCACTTTTACAGACTCTAGGACCAAAAAGCCCCCATGCAAAGAGCCAATGAACCATTTTGACATTTTTATCTATTCCTAACCATAATGTAAACATTCCTTAAAAGGAAAGGTGATATAAGAAAAGTTTCAGAAGAAACAACAAACAACACCCTTTGTTTCCTAAGCTTACAGCAATTAACTAATAGTTTTTTTAAATCTCCTATAATTCCCTCATATTTCTAAGGTCTTTAACCAAATCAGCGTAGTTAAACACAAACAATCCATGGAAGACTATTCAATTTTTACTATTCTTACAGCAACACCTTAGCAATCTGGACACGATATATTTACTAAAATGGTTCTGTTTAAAATTTCCTCAAGGATAAAATTGTAAACAAATTTCAATAGACTGACACAAATAAAGATAAAAAAATTATAAAATTGAGGAATGAATTTCGAAATTGAACATTGAACACCTAAGACAAGATACAAATACTACAAAACTAAACTTTCAATCAAGCTCAAAAACCCTCATTAAGGCACCTCTCATTATTAAAACTTGTTCACTGCCTCAAAATCTACCACTAGCTTAACAGGAATACCAAAATAACATAGTAGCGCGCATATTGGCGCCTTAATCTTCTACCAAAATGGAATCATTATGCAAGAAACAGAAACAAAACCATAACTCGGGACCAAACAAATAATATCATAACCTTGTAGATTTGTTTCCCACCTCAAAATGCTCCAAATTCCTATAAGATCCACTCAAAAGTCTCTTTCGCACAGTTCCAAAATCCATTGGGTGTTGAATGATGTCATGGTAATCTGGAAGCTACATGTGAATCACCGAACCATAAGTTTTCAGTCATAAAAAGACCAAAACAATACTAATCACTACATAGAGAATAAAATCTTACCTCCTCAGGATCTACAGGCTCTGAGAAAACTCCATAGGTGTCCTTCCTGAAGCCAAAGCCGAGCCAATCAGGTAAAATAACTCAGCTAATACAGATCACAGAGCTACAGTACCACAGCCATAAAATTCAAAAGCGTAAAGAAACCAAAGCACTCACTTCTGTAGTCTATCAAGGATGAACTCCAATAGTTTTTTGTCAGGAAGAGAAGTCGTGGGTCCCAAATCCGATGCCCCTCCTGCCCACAAAACGGAGAATGATTAAATAATAATAGAAGAATAAACATCACGCCCAAACCCCCAAAATGGATAAATCGTCGCCCTTAAAAAGTTCAAATCTTTTTTTCATGAAATAAATGTACGAGCACCGAACCTTGCGGCGCTTCCGTCGCTTTCCTAGAGGAATTTTTACTTTCCGCCTGCTACAAAACAAATCTTAAAATTAGTCAACAGAAAGAATGCTCATAAATATACAGTGCGACTGAGCGGGAGAGCATTAAAAAAAAGTTGAATTTTTAAAATATTTACTATTCTGCAAGCAGGTCCACCCGGCAAAAGCACGCACCGAAATAAACGCACTGATTCCGATCTCCAACAAAACCCCGAATCCCAAGCAACCAAATCTATATATACCCGAAAACCATGAAATGTTGGGGATACTACATTGCAGCAGACTGGATCGCCGCATTATGGAGCAAACGAAGGACAATTCGAACCCCAATTATATAATAATAATAATAAATGTTACTAAGTTTTCTTCATTTAGTTTTGGTTAATCAAGCGGACCTTTCTCACAGCGTCGATCTTCCGCTTGTTGGTTGTAGCCCCATCCGATTCTGATGCGAAGCAGGCCGCATCGGAGGAATTGGCATCGGGGTGAGGTAGTTGCAAAACAAGCTTGAGCTTCTTCTCCTTTCTCCTCTCGGCGGGCTCATCTTCGTCTTCATCGTCCTCCAAAGAGGCCTCCAAAGACGCATCATCCACGTCGTCTTCCGGAGATGGCGGTACAGGATCGGGATTGCGGCTCCGGTGGGCGAGGCGGACGGCAGGTGGGTTATGGAAGCGGGCATAAGGGTTGAAGCTAGGGTTAGGGTTTCGCTTCTGCTGCTGTTGCTGTTCTTCTTGTTTCTGAAGGCGAAGGCTGCGTTTCTGGAGATCTAGGAGAGAGGGGCGGCCTTTCTTCTTCCTCTTCTTCTCTACTGGTCTGCCCATCTCTCTCTCTCCCCTTCTCTCACTATTCCCTCTTTATCGCTATATTCTCTCCTCTCTATCTATGACCGAGGGTCGAATTTCTTGGAATTTCTTTTTTGTATTTGGGGCTCGCCATAGACACGTGACCAGAGGTTTGCTCGTGATCGTATGTGGGCACGCGGAATGGGTGATGGGATCCGAAATTCATACAAATATATTTATTCAGAATTAAACAAAAATTAATTAAATTTGTGAATTTGTAGGTGATCAAATAATTTTTTAATTTTTTAATTTATGGGTAATAGAAAGTTTCTTTAAAAATTATTTATTTTATTACTTTCCGTATTAATTCTAATAGCAATTTTTTTATATAGTTTTTGGCTTTCTCGATCTTCTCTTATTAATTTTTATGGAAAATATGTTTTTACTTAATTTAATCTTGATAAAAATACCAAACTTCATGAAGTTATTAACAATGGAGTTTAGAATTTATCTGCTAATATTTTTCTTTCTTTTAAGTGTATTTAAGTTATTTATAGCACTCATATTATTGATGATATTACTTGTCTTTGGAAATACAAGAAATTTATTCTCATTCAGATATTTATTGCTTCCTTTATGAAAGTTTATCTTGTGTAGGATGGTTTATGCTGATTTAGTTTGAGGGTTATTTCATTAAATTTATTGTTCACTCTTCAAAAATTATTCATGATGGCCATAAAACTAGTGATATTCTTATTAATAGAGGCTAGTTGCACCTTTGATTATTATGAAATTTAAACTCACACACAAATTTTTTAATGTGTTTTTTCTCATTATATTCTTAATAAATGTATAACTACTTTTATTACTTTTTTATTCTTCATAATAATATTTTCCGGTTCTCTATCATTTTGAGAAAATTATTTATAAAATTAAGAAGAAATTCCATCTTTTGGATATTCAAATCATTGTTTTTCATCTATGATTTAAATTAAATAACAGAATTTTTAGAAATGCTTCTTTCTATGTTAAGACTCTTATCTTTAATATTCATTTGTTGGTGAAAAGAGAATTTTATGCAGGATCAATACAGGAATTTAGGTTTTTTGAGACGGCTACAATCAGTTGGTTATGATAAGAAAAATCATCGTAGATAAAACACTTGTCGGCAATTCTGAATTGATTGATATTTCAACGGTATAAATGCACCAACGGTTATCCGATGATCTAATGTCAAAAAAATTTTCGAGAAAATTCATCGTTTTATATAACTGTTAGTTCTTCTATAGATAATAGTAACGGCATACACATCAAAAAAAGTGTCGCACCCGTCAGTTTTTGGTAGCTGGCAAATTCGTCGGTTATGCATCATTTTTTATAACTAACGGGTTAGCTATCAGAAAAGTATAACGCTCGTCGGTTTTTCGGCGTAGGTAAAACCTTCGATTAAGCATCATTTTTTATAACCAACGGGTTACTTATAGGAAAATTGTCGCTCCCGCCATTTTTGTGTGATGCTTCTTATGTCATCGATTATATGTCGATTATGGGTCGGTAAAAATGTCCATCGGCTAACCATCAGTTTTGCTTACAGATAAGTTTGTAACAGCTGCAAACCCGACAGTAAGTCGTCG